ATATATATATATATATATATATATATATATATACAATTGCGAGTACTTCTCTAGATATTTTTTTTCATGATCTACATAAATCATAAGATAATTCAAGTAGGCGAAGTAAGTCTATAAATATTATTTGTGATATTTTGAACATATTTTGAAATCTCACAGGATGTCTATGTATCTATTTATCCCCAGTTTGAGTTGAAGTCATATATAGACTCTTATTCTTATATTGTGCATGATAATAGATGAGCATACTTGTTATTGTGTTATTTAAAATTGTCATTTGAGTCTTTCCTATTAGTTCATTATTTGAGATACATTATTCATCATAATCATCACCTTCATTGTCTGACAAATCTTTAATTGGTATAGACATTTTTAAGAAAAAATTAAATTGCAGCTAAGTAATAGAAGATAAAAGAAAAGAAATAATAAAGTTAGAATATAAACAGAAGTTACATGAAATTATAATCTACAAGATTTGTCAAATGTGGTAACGCTCATATGAGTACAACAAATATAACTAATCTGCATAAATCAAAAGATGAACAAAAATATCACTATCAATGAAACTTCTACAATGTAAAAGAAAAAAAAAATATTTTATTTTCAGGAAAATAATTCATATAAATAGTGAATGCAGTTGCAATCAAGATAAACTCTTACAGTATTTTCTTCTGAGCCATCCTATTTTTTCATCCTTGTGCATGTGCATGAAAATCTCTGTCATCTTTATCTTTCACGAGCTCTCAAGCAAAAACATATAACTCAATATTGTTGGTTACATCTGTTAAGTTAGCTAACTCATCCAGTGCATCACGTAAAGTAACAGAGTTTATCGAAGCATTTAGCGTAAATATAGATTCACTAATAGATGTGGATGCTTGGACTAACGGCTCAATTTGTTTATCGAGAAAATTTCTACCAGTCGACTTTTGTTTTTTAAATTTCCTCTTATTTAATAATTGTGTATGAATTGAACGCGAACTGTGAAGTCCTTGAACATTCGCAATATTAGGATCATCCTCGTGAATTTTATCTGCAGCAGAAAATTCTGCTATTTCCTCTCATAGTTCAAGAGGTTGTCCACCCAAGCTTGGCAGCCAAACATTTTCTCCAGTTGCTACTATAAGTTCAAACATTATGTCTAATTTCTCTTCCAACTCGGACAATATTATGTTATAACAAAATTTCAATAATGCAGGATTAACCTACAATAAGTTAGAATAAAAAATGTGATATTGACACATATAAGTGAAAATTGTTTATGAAGTAAATTAAAAAATACTTGTTTTTTCTCATTCCACCACTCATTTAAAGCTTAAATTGTTTTTTTTCATTGGAGTCCATCCTATTCCAGTCTCACCCCGTAGTAATTTTTTCCATAACTTGCATTCTATTTTAAGTTGATCTCATTTATTTTTTAATTGCGCATGATCATACGTCCAAACAGTATGCTCATTGAATTTTTTTACTAGATTCTCCCAACCTTCCTTGTTAAAATGGGATGTGGGTCTATTACCCAGTTTTATTTCAATTACATGTCACAGTAAAGTAATTTCAATCTCCCATGTTGTGAGCTCACCACCTTCTTTTGCTTTCACATAATTTATTTTCTAAGATAAGCATGTGTTAATGTGTAATGCTTCATATGTTTTATTATTGGGTTTCATCAATTCATTTGAAATCATTTTGATGTAAACAAAAAGGAAAACTAAGAAGAAAAATGCAGAGACTGGTTTGAACGGGATTTCAGTAATCTTAAAAAGCTTATTCGTATGAGGAAGCTTATTGGAATCTTGTTATAACATAGTTAAATTCATGTTCTAACATTGCCTAAACCATGATATATCAATGTCTGGAACTTGGTTGACCATTATTCAAAAATGGTTCAAAAAGCTTTGCTCCCAGTTCAAATATAATTGAAACTAGATTTGAATATGATTTAACCATAAATAGAACCTGATTTGAACCATATAATAGTCATTCTTATGTTTACGTTTAGAACAATTTTTTTTTTCAAAATATGAATCAATCATTAATATTCTTACGTTGTATGAATAATGAAAAAAAAGAGACTAGTTAGTTGGACATCTACAGGGAGATAAGTCCAGAATTAATGGTTCAAATAAGCTTTCCCACAAAGATATCATCAATCTTCATTATAAAATAATAAAGACAAGTAGAAAACATATTTTACAGTTTTATTTATGTGTCGACTACATCCAAAATGATTTAATTATTCTAATCATGAAAACAATATTTCTATAGGCATAGATAAATTGGATACGAAGGAGGATAATAAAAAGGTAAATCAATTGAACATATTTTACTAATTAATTTACTTTTGATTTGACGAAAGTGATGATTTAAACATAATATAATGCAAATAGCACTGATGGTAAGGACATATACAAAATGCAATTAATTGTGTTTGCTGATGCGTAGATGAGTTGGCTAGTATTTTTAGATGTTTCTACATATTTTTATGGATGAAATTATACTTTAAGAAAGGTATTTTTGTGTCTATCTTGTAGATACAGCAGGTAATTGAAGTGGGGAAACCAGGAGAGGACTTGGAGCTGAATGGTGCAAAGTGGCCCTGGCACCTAGATGTCGGACCCTTGGGCTTCTAGGCATCAGTCTCTGCCTCACCAGCCTGAGAGGTTGGCGCCATTGGGCGCCTAGGTGTCGGTCCCTTGGGTGCTTAGGCTCCCATTCATTCCTCGACATACAAAGAGCCTAGCATCTACCCCTGAGAGAATAGGGGCCTAAAACTGTCGGAGCAGTTGACTAGATTTGATGGAGGATTGATGTTGGTTAGTTACTTGAGGGTTTTTCTTGCTTTGAAGAACCATAGTTCTTTTTCTAAGTGCTGAGGAAGTGGTGTTCTTCCAAGGGGGAGTTAGGGAATCAGGAGTGTTCATTGGAGTTATCTTTGGTCATTGTAAAGAAGAAATAGCTAAGTATTTTTGTGTACTTGTTTGTGTATTTCTGTTGTAACTAAGTATTAGTGCATTTCTCTTTTGTTCAATGCATTTATTTGGTGAAATCAACATGCCTTGTGGGTAAACCTTTTAACTCTTTCTTGTGATGATTAGGTAGGATGAATGGAATGTGAAGTGTTATGTAATTTATTTATTTTCAAATGGTGATGATTAACTTTAAGAATTTAATTTACCTTTCATTCTCGTCAAGTGAAGTTTTGAAATATATTGTGAACCATAAGGCTTGGGAAAGCTGTGATAGAATCAACTAGGTTAATCACATTGAATTATAGGGTATAGGTGGATATGTCTTGTAAGAAGATGCAAATGTTAGGGAAATATGCTTTGAAAGGATAGCTATGGAATTTAAGGAATTAAATTCATTTCTATCCAAGCTTCTTTATGCACTCGGGAGAGAGTAAAGAAAATTTTTGCTCCTATTTTTCACTAGTTTTTTACTACATACAAATTTACATTCAATGTCATTCACTTAACTTATTACAAAAAAGAGTCTCTCAAGTATTTGATATCTTTCAATCAAATTTCCTAAAATTTGTGTAGGATTTAAATTTTTTATTTGTTGTTAACACATTAGGTTAAATAAATGCTTAAAGATATCAATTGAGAGAAATAAATGCTTAAAGACGATTTTCCCAAATATTGAAAAAAGATCTATTGTTAATTTGGAGTTTACTAATTTCTTTAGATGTAGTGGTGCCTTTTATCTAGAAGGAGCCTAAAATATTCTCAGGGGAGCACAAAATTATGGGATGTTAGTGGAGATGCTTTGGTTACAATGAAGGATATTAAAATCCTTGAAGTTGTTAATCTTTCTCTTGATGAGTCATCCTTAGAAATAGTGTTCTTCATTGATGAAGGTGAAGGTGTATCTATCTATCTATCTATCTATCTATGATCTATATTGGCCGAAATTTAGCACTTAATTGGAGCAACCTCTCAAATAAAAAGAAAAAAGAAAATAGTACACGTTTAAAAAACTACCATCCATCCATCTCAAATAAAAAAAAGAAAAAGAAAATAGTAAACGTTTAAAAAACATCCATCCATCTCAAATAAAAAAAAGAAAAAAAAATAGTAAACATTTAAAAAACATCCATCCATCCATCTAACGAAGGCGAAAAAAGGAGAACATGAATATAAGCTGGTAGCATAATTTTAGATTTTATTGGCTGAAATTTAGCACTTAACTGGAACAACCCCCCAAAAAAAAAAAAAAAAAAATAGTGCGGACAGGGGGGGGATAACTTCTTGTTAATAAATACAATTTGAAAGGAACCCTTTAGAATCATTTTCTTTTTGCGAATCACATAGAAAATTAATTGTTTGGAGCTTATGCACCTAACTCATCTCAGCCTTGGAGTCAACTACCACAAAGTCCAATTATCTTAGCTATATATATAT